CAAATGTCATTCTGAATCGCTCATTAGGAACATTAAAGAAAATGAAGCGAGCACTTCCAGGTGAAAAAATCAAGTTTAATGCGAATAGCGAAAGCCTATCTGCTCCATCTACAATTCCGAGAACTTACAGATCAAACTCTCTCGAAATTGAACGACGACTTCACTTCTATATGTCGTCCCCGGGACAGATGAATGGGGTCTCGCCTCCTCTAGCAGCGATACAGAGTTCGCAGGTACTGATTTACAGTTTTAGAAATAGCCAGTTGAAATGACTACAAGCAAAATTACTCAGCTGTATAGTCGATTCTTCAAATAAGGTAGCAGTCACAACTGCGGCTACGCGCGGCGTGATGGCCGCCACTTATGAGCCGCGGCGTGTGGGGAGGTATTGATGTGTTGGCCGTGCCGCAGTAGTCACTATATTAATTCGCTAGCCCTTCATTGGTTGATCAAGTGAAATCTTGATTTGTCGAACTGTAATTCTATCGTTAGGATGACAGCTTTTCCCAAAAGACATTTTTGGTAAGCATCTCGTTATAAATGGCGACTTTGAGTAAAGAACATTGTCTTGTTTGTAATGAATCAGGTTGGCCCGAGTCTGGTGTATATTTCACACTTTTTTGAATAATAAGCTTATTGTTTATAGATATCAACAACCATATAATGACCATGATTCACTACGTATGTCCAGTATTCATTAGACTATCATTTCAAGAAGTGCAGAAATCTTGCGGTTGTAAGAAGAAATGTGAAATCTCATCTTCCAGCTTCCTTCCTTTTTGGGTGTCAAACTTTTTTCCTCACAGTTGCAGCCTCGGCGAAACAACTAGTTGTCAGACGGGGCCAGAAAAATAAGCAGAGTGCAATGGAACTTCCAACCACTTCTGACAATTTCCTGCAGAATGGGTTTTGCCACGTGAGATCGGGCACTATTACAAAGTAAAGTAAAATGGCCAATTTTCTTACACTTCAGGCAGACTATTTGTCAATTTCAGTAACTAGGAAGTCAGAGTAGAGCAATGTAAAGCTCTCCGTATTCTCTTGCTAAAAAATTTGATTACAACCTACAAAGTTTGTCAAAAACTACTAGAAGTACCTCTAACCATGACTTCAGCGTTTAGATAAACTTGTTGCACCTAAATTATCAAAAGATCTACACAGCAGCTTCCCCTACCCTTTCCCCCCCCCCTCTCCTCTCCTCCCTCCTCCTCCTCCGTCCCTGTTTATAAATTACTATGCAATTCTTAGTCTTTCAACTTAGATTACCGCTCCTATCGATCTTGGCCAGCAAGCAACGCTGTTGATCCTGCAACGGATTTACCACGAACTGAAAGTACACCTTTTCTGATTCTCCATAATGATTAGATTTCAAAATAATTGCAACATACAGGTGGTCACTAAACGAATGGTGGAGGCCGACCGTGAAGAACAGGCGTCGAATAATTGGAAATTTGCTGCGATGGTGGTTGATCGACTGTGTCTCTACATCTTCACAATGTTCTTACTGGCCTCGACTGTGGGCATCTTCTCGTCTGCCCCTTATCTCGTTGCCTAACTCTCACCCTCCCCATGGTCATTTCCAAATTCTCGCAAAAAAAGTCAAATCATATCAATGCTTTTTTGTCAAATAGTAGGTTGACAGTAACTTAGTTACGCATCTTGTACAAAGCAAGCAGCACCTTTCTACAAAGAGTTTATGCGAATCACTTGTTTAGAAACTGTTAATTCTATTGAAGGAAGTTTCTAGCACTAAGCTTTCAATATCTGGGTCTGTTCAATGAGCTCTATGAAACGCCCCGTTCTTCCTCGTGTGATACTTTGTATATCTTTGTTACGTCGCTCAAATCCTTTCAGAAAATAATATGCTATATATAAACTATATTATTTGCGAAGTTAATAAATATTTTTGTATTACTTCATCTAGATCGTTAAGCAGTTAATCAAGATTGTACTAACTATTGGCTTATCAACGTTTCAGTGCCTTCGTCGGAGCCTGAAAACTCGAAGTCATAAGTGATCTGTTTGACGTCAACAACAAGACTTACGATATGAAAAGGAGAACTGGCAAAAAAGACACAACCAAAGCTTAAAGTAACCAAATGAACATGCACAACGAGGCGTTCGTAACAGACCAATACTCGTGCGGTGCCTCAGCTCTTTAAGTGTGCCCTCGTGACCCTGTTTACGTCCAAATCCAGGAAGGAATTGATGCGCCCGTTTGTGATATCAATGCTCCCCCTGCTTGTTTTGAATTTTTGGCAATAATCCAAAGCACTTCTAATGTCTTCCGCGTTAGAATTTTGGGTTAGGTCTTCATCCCAGTTTGCATTATATTATTATGGCGTATTAAGCGATGCTTTTCTGATGGGGCCTTACATTAACCTATCTAAATCTTCTTTAACCCGACTGCAGAGTGAACGTTCGGTCTCCACGATGTACGTGTCAACAAATGATAGGCATGTGATAAGGTAAATCACTCCTAACACCATACATGTTCTTCGCTACTAAACGGGCAAACTATGCACCCTAGCGTCAAGCAGATGCGAGCGTACGGATTGCGGAATTGCCGCTCCAAATTCGGGGGCAGTATACCGACTACCCTGACGACATCCTGTAAACGCGCCTAATGCAACGCCGCACCGCGCTGCTAATTTCATCACTGACAAAAGATAAACAGAATGGAATTTTGCTTGTGGCATCCACTAAGCTGGCTCTGCTGCTTACAGAGCCGCGCGGTTTTGGTGGGTACTTGTTGCTGATAAATCCATTCCTCCTTGCGTTCTTGAGCTAGAGTTACTGAACGAGTTGCTCTTAAACCTCGATGAAACCCGAACAGCTGTTTGTAAATTTGCTGCAATGGATTTCTTCATTCTGCTTGATTAAGCAAAAAGATAATGTATTGAGGTCTCACTGCTGGCTTGCAGTCCATTTGGTATTGTATTCTCTGTCTGACAAATTGATTTGCACATTGAGCAAAGCGACCCATTCGTGGTTTGCTTCTCCCCTGGTAAACTTGATATCAGGGAAATGCACGGGATTCCAAATCAGTTAACCCTTTCCATATGAGTGGGATATGATGCAGTATTCACCCGTATAACGGCAGCAAAGCAGTGGCTTGTTCTGATACTGGCGCTCCCACCTTGGACAAAGCAATGGTAAGTGCTCATGCTAGCCGTTGTGCCATTTCCAAACGTCTGACCTGTTTATGATAATGAACCGACCATCGAGCAACGTTGTGCAGGCACTCGCAGAGACACTGTTATTAATAACCAATCCATATAGGTTAAGAAAGGATTGATATTCAAAAAATAGTTTGCAGACAGTTTGCAGCGCAGTATCATTTGATACATCAATA